CTAAAATTTTACCCTAATTTACGAAAAAGTCCCAAACTAAAATTTGTTTACGAAAAAGCATGAATTACCAGTAAAAATGGTGATTTGACCCCTTTTTTTCGGTTTGCCGGTTTTATTACTTACATGTTTCACTAAAGTCCCATTATTTTATCCTAATTTGCGAATAAGTCCCAAAATAAAATTTACTGATGATTTAACCCTTTTCTCTATGTAAAATACATTTTACCAGTTTCATTGCTGACCCGGACGCCTAGTCATTAAATGAGATGATGAGATGGATATGTTGAGTTATATAATGCTATGTTTAGCATAAAACTTGACATCCTGATGTATTGTATATCTTTTTTGAATAAAAAATGCATCTAACGAAGACTACAATAATTACATAAACTAACAACAACTGCGTTATTTTTTATGTTTATAAGAAATATCAAATTGTCTATCTAATCTTATGTAACCCAATATATCCATCTCATCAGACATCAATTTAATTTTTTGCCATTTTTTCTTGGAAACACACATTTTATTGGTTTCATTGCTGACGTAGATAAATAGTCATAAATGATCTGATGAGATGGGTATCAAATTTTACAATAAATGTGACATTATATAACCATCGTATTCATCTTATCAGCTAATTTAATGACTAGGTGTCTAAGTCAGTAATGAAACCGATAAAATGTATGTTATATGAAGAAAATGGCCAAATCATCAATAAATTTTATTTTGGGACTTATTCGCAAATTAGGGTAAAATAATGGGACTTTAGTGAAACATGTAAGTAATAAAACCGGTAAACCGGAAAAAAAAAATGGGTCAAATCGTCATTTTTACCGGTAATTCATGCTTTTTCGTAAACAAATTTTAGTTTGGGACTTTTTTGTAAATTAGGGTAAAATTTTAGGACTTTTCTGTAGATTTCCCTATATATATATTAAAGGACATGGGAAGTTTCAACATAAACTTTCCATGTTTATAATTTTAACACTATATTTTTTATTTTTACTTTTTTTAATTTTGCCACTAAAGTTTCAACAAACTTTTCCTTTTTATAATTTTGCCATTTTATTTTTACTTCTTCGTATTTTTGCCACTAAACTTTCACTTTTACTTCTTTAAAACCCTTTTTTTTTATTCTTTTATAACTTTACCACTTTATTTTTACTTTTTTATAATTTTGTCACTAAAGTTTCAACAAAATTTTCCTCTTTATAGTTTTGGTACTTTATTTTTACTAATTTTGTCACTAAAGTTTCAACAAACTTTTCCTCTTTATAATTTTGACACTTTATTTTTACTTATTTATATTTTTGTCACTAAACTTTCACCCGTGCAACACACGGGCCTTTTCCTAGTTAGACTTAAGGGGTGTTTGCGTAAGGTTATTTTTTGGGGGCTTAGGCTTATGAGTTTAAAAGCTTAACAACTTATTAGCTTATAAGATAAAAAGTGTTTGGATTAGCTATGACTTATTAACTAATAAGCTTTTTAAAAAATTATGTTTGGATTAGCTTATTTTTGTAAAATGACTAAAAAGGAGAATAATGTAGTGTTTGGAAAAGAAGAATTATTTAGGATGAAGGGTAAATAAGGAAATATAAACAAATAAGTTAATCATTCGGAAAAAAGTTATTTTTCGTTTAGCTTATGAAAATTGGTTTATTTTTAGATAAAATAAGTTCAAAAGCTTAATCTAATAAGCTAACCCAAACATTATTTTTTTATAAGCCCAAAAAATAAACTGATAAGCTAAAAAGCTTAAAAAATAAGCTAAAACAACACCCCTTAGACTAACAGGAGTGGCATGCGGTTTGGCCGAAATTTTTGCCACATACGCAAAGGAATACCGACCTCCTATGCGGTCTTGGATGCGGTTTGGACGCATCACTCCTCTTTTTGGCCACACTCCTTTTTCTCTCACTTCCTTCCACTCCGTTCCCGAGTTCAACTTAACAAGATAAAAGAAAGGAAATGGGTAGAAACAGGAAAAAAGTAAAAAAAAAAAAAAAAAAAAAAAAAAACTAGTGTTTCCAAATTTTATTAAAAGAATGAAGTGGATGGAAATGGAATGATCACTTTCTCTCCTAACTTTCCTTCTATTTTGGAATGATTTGGAAAGAAAGAACAAAATAATTAATTTTCTTTCCACTTCTCTTCAATTCAAAAACACAAAAGAATTTTTTTTCCTTCACTTTCTTTTCTTTTCTCTTTTAAATTTTTTTTCTTTTCTTTTCTTAAACTCGGGAAGTAAGCGTTCAAGTCTCTCTCTCTCTCTCTCTCTCTCTCTCTCTCTCTCTCTCTCACACACACACACACATATACTGTGTGGCAAAGAACCACATTTTGTATGGTATAAATGATGTGGCACCTATATGGCTCTTACATGTTAGAGAAGAAAATGTGGTTCTTATGACACTACTCCTTCAAACCTTAATTAAAAGAAATTATTTAGGATGAAGGGTAAATAAGTAAATATAAACAAATAAGCAAATCATTTGGAAAAAAAATTATTTTCGTTTGGCTTATGAAATTTGGTTTATTTTTAGATAAAATAAGTTCATAAGCTTAAGCTAATAAGCTAACCCAAACATTATTTTTTTTATAAGCCCAAAAAATAAGTTGATAAGCTAAAAAGCTTAAAAATAAGCTAAAACAACACCCCTTAGACTAATAGGAGTGATATGCGGTTTGGCCGAAATTTTTGCCACATACGCAAAGGAACACCAACCTCCTATGCGGTCTTGGGTGCGGTTTGGACGCATCTCTCCTCTTTTTGGTCGTACTCCTTTTTCTCTCACTTCCTTCCACCCCGTTCCCGAGTTCAACTTAACAAGATAAAAAAAAAATGAAATGGGTGGAAATAAGAAAAAAGTAAAAAATTAGTGTTTCCAAGTTTCATTAAAAGAAGGAAATGGATGAAAATGGAATGATCACTTTCCCTCCTAACTTTCCTTCTAATTTGGAATGATTTGGAAAGAAAGAACAAAATGATTAATTTTCTTTCCACTTCTCTTCAATTCAGAAACACAAAAGAATTTTTTTTTTCCTTCACTTTCTTTTCTTTTCTTAAACTCGGGAACTAAGCGTTCAAGTCTCTCTCTCTCTCTC